AGTGTGTTTCGTGTGATATCGGAGCTTTAAAATCCACAGTTCACATAAACGTTTGGGGAGGACAGAAATATGAACTGATTTAAAACAGGAAACCCAAGAATTTGAAAATATGTTTGCAAATCAAAATGTGTTTTATACGTCACTAGAGCCACAGACACAAAGACAAATGATATTATACTCTTTTATATTAGATCTGTATTCTGCATAAACAAACAGATTCAAGTGCTGTAAATGTGAGTTCAATACTAAATAAAAGGTTTTATACTTAATACAATAAAGATAAAAACACAGTTTCAAGAAGTAAATACATGAATATTATTCTGTGATCTTACACGGTTCAAGTCGTTTGTCAAACACAGAGCTGGACTTCGCCGAGCTCACAGACGTCGACTCTCACACGTCCCTTTAAGATCATTTAGACCACAGGTGTCAAACATACGGCCCGGGGGCCAGATCCGGCCCTCCAAGACCTTTAATGTGGCCCTTGGCTGATTTTCTACTCAAATATCTGTATTATATTTTCTATTAAAATGGTGTTAATTTTGTGTGGTGTTTATCACAGCAGCGTCTCCAGCGTCTCTGTACGTGGCCCCTCCCACCAGAGCAGCACAAATGAAGACTTGTCTCTTTCCAAACGCTCTTAAAGGACGATCGTTTTGACTGTTGACCGTGACACCCTCATCAGAAAAATGTCCAACATGAGAAAAGTGGAGCCGAGTGCAGGATTTTACAACAAAAATGGACTTAATCCTGTTTACAGACAAGTTCATGTTCAAACTTTGTGTTGAAATTGTATTTTTCTTAAAGTTTCAGGTTGTTCATAATATTATAATATTTAGTAAAAGAAAGAGTTCATCAATTAAAAAAGATTTGTGTAATAGATTTGTGTTTCAAAATAAACATATTTTATAATTTAGCTGTGTTGAGTTACATCAGTGTTTTTTCATATTTTAAAAGTGACAAACCTTCACGACCCAAGTCCACAAACATTATTCATAAATCACAAAATAAAAGTGGATTTTTTCATTATTGAACATTCATGAGGTTATTTTATTGACTGACTGATTGTGTCTCTGAACATTTAGTTTTACTCAAGTTTTAAACAATGAAAAACAGTTTGAAGCAGAAATAAAAGGATCCAGAAGTCGCCTGTTTGGACTTTAAACGTAGAACATTTCTGTTTCTTTTCAACATTCAAATTAAACCAGCAACACTGGAACAAAACACTCAATAAAATAATTACAAAAGGATTAGAAATGGTCTTAATATTTGAACATTTCTAGTGAGACGGTTGTGTCTGTGTGCGGCTGCAGCAGATCAGAGTCACAACTGAACATCTCAGATCGACATGCAGATCGTGAAAAGGTCACCCAAAAAAAAAAACATCTAACACTTTATAATAACTACACCTTATTCAGCCTTAATAAAGCATGAACAAAGGCTTAATTAATAATGATTCACGCTTAGTAACTACTTAATTACTGCCTGAATTAGCACTTAACTTGCACTTAATTCACCTGTGCTGTAAATAGTTACTCATAAGTATTTCTTACTTAATTACTCATGAACTAACCATTTGCATGTTTACAAATGTATATTTAAGTACAGATTTGAGTATTTATTAATGATTAATAAGCTATGAGAGAATGATTTACTAATAATACAATGCAATGATCATTCAGGCAGCTGTTATCTGTTAGTTAAGTCTTTCTGAGAGTTTTTCTAACATAAAGATTAATTATGTTTTATTAAGTATTTGTTAAGGTTGGTCAAATTCCAGAGAAACAATAATGCATCATTAGTAAATCATTCTCTCATGGCTTATTAATCATTAATAAATGCTCAAATTTGTATTTAAATATACATTTACAAATGCACACACAAATGGTTAGTTCATGAGTAATTAAATAAGAAAAACTTATGAGTAACTATTTACAGCACAGGTGAATTAAGTGCAAGTTAAATGCCAATTCAGGCAGTAATTAAGTAGTTACTTAGTAGTAGTTAGTTGAATCATTATTAATTAAGTCTTTGTTCATGCTTTATTAAGGCTGAATAAGATGTAGTTATTATGAAGTGTTACCAAACCAACTCTTCTGACCCACCTGAGGGTCGTGACCCAGACTCTGGGAAACACTGGGTTAGAGACATGAACTTTCACACAGACAGTGTCTCCGTCTTTTCTGCATCACCCAAGGAAAAACAAAAACTAAAACACGACACTTCACACATCAGTCCATCTTTCCCACAATCAGGGAACAATTTAGCTCCATGAAATGCTTCTTTAGAAAATAAAAATAGATATTTGTATAACTGCACTTTTAGACGTGTTTTATTTTTAAATTACATTTTTTGTTCAGCAGCTTCACTTTTTTATTGTTGAGTCAGAACATAAACTGTTCCCAGTCTCCAGCTTATCACAAAAACAATATTTACTGATTTTTATAAAGAAATAAAATTAATATTCTGTAGAATTGAGTTAAACATTTTGGCCTCCACAATATTTTCTGTTTCTCATGTGGCCTAGGGAAAAATCCTCTATATTTCAGTTTTTCCAGTTTCAGTTTCTGTCTGCGTCTCAGTTTCAGTTTTAATGAGCTTTATTCCAGTGTTGATTGGCTGGAGTTTCATGTTTCATTGTGTTTGGTGTTGTTTTGTTGGCGTCAGTTGTCGTGGGGCTGGAGGGACACAGCTGCCGACTCACATGTTGTTGTGACAGAACTGAGCCTGAACCCTGCAGGTGTCTGAGCAAAACGATAAAAGAACGAGTGACTCATCCGCTCTGGTCATCTCCACTCCTCCTCCTCTCCCTCCTCCTCCTCCTCCTCCTCCACTCCTCCTCCTCCTCCCTCCTCCTCCTCCTCCTCTCCTCTCCTCTACTCCTCCTCCTCCTCCTCCTCCTCTCTCCTCTCCTCCTCTCTCCTCCTCCTCCTCCACTCCTCCTCCTCCTCCTCCTCCTCCTCCTCCACTCCTCCCTCCTCCTCTCTCCTCCTCCTCCTCGCTCCTCCACTCCTCCTTCGCTCCTCCACTCTTCCACTCCTCCTCTACAGTCCCTGACAAAAGTCTTGTTGTTTATCCATTTTGTAGAAACAAAAGTTTATAACTTGACTTTAAATTAATTGATTGGTTTTAGAAATGTCTCATATGAAGCTAAAACCCTCCCAAATTATGTTCAATAAACTAAAATAAATGTTCTTCGCTGAAGAAAGATTGATCATTTAATGAACACAGAAAGGTCAGATTTTGGCAAGACAAAAGTTTTGTCGCCTACAGAAAATTGAACAAATAATTTACTTCAAACACAAAAATATGTTGCATAACGTCAGTGAATGAAGTAGTGGTGCTGTGAGATCCATATTTAATATCTTGTATGACGTCCATGAGCTTGAAGGACACATCCATGTGGTTCAACAATGATTCATACAATTTCTTGATGAAGTCATCAGGAATAGCAAAGAAAGCGTCTTACAGCCTCCCAGAGTTCATCAAGATTCTTTGGTTTTGTCTTCATGTTTCCTCTTTCATTCTACCCCAGACCTGCTCAGTGATGTTCATGTCTGGTGACTGGGCTGGTCAGTCCTGGAGCACCTTGATCTTCTTCACCTTGACAAACTTTGATGTAGAGATAGAAGTATGCGATGGAGCACCATCCTGCTGCAAAATCTGACCCCTTTTATGTTTGGGAATGTAAGAGGAGCTAATACTTCTTGATATTTTAGGCTATTGATATTTGCCTTCCACCCTGCAAATGTCTCGCACACCCCCAGACTGGATGGAACCACAGACCAGGATTTTTCCGCCACCAAACTTAACTGTTTTCTGGGTGAATCTTGGATCCATGTGGCTCCAGTTGGTCTCCTGCAATATTTGCGGCTGTGATGTAATTCAACTGAGGATTCATCTGAGAAATCCACCTTCTGCCACTTTTCCAGTGTCCATCCTTTTATCAGGCTGTGGGCCTTGGCAAATGCCACACGGTTTTTTTAATTGCCTTTTGTTTAGTGCTGGTTTCTGTGCACTGATTCGACCATGGAGGCCATTTCCAGACAGAATTCTACAAACTGTTGTGGTTGACACAGGGACTTGAGGTGACCAGGCCTGGTGGAGTCTGCTGCAGTGGAAAAGGGGCCTTGGATTTTCTAATCAACAAACGGTCCTCCAGAGCAGTTGTCTTGCGGCGTCTGCTGGACCTGGGCTTGTCAAAAACATCTCCAGTCATTTCAGATCTTTTTCTTCTTCTTTGTACTTGACGCTGAGACACATTGAAGGTGTCACCACCTCAGCAGTGGATCTGGTCTTCAGCCTCTTGATAATTAACGCTTTGGTCTCAGGGTGGATCTTAGGCATGTTGTCAGAGGTCAAGTTGCAGTTGATGTGAAGGTCTGGTTCTGCTGGGTTCTTTTTATACACACCCACTAACTGATTGATCAGTAACTGATCACAGGTGAGGCTGTAATCTAGGATTGGTGCATCATATGACAAGACCACAAGACTTTTGTCTTGCCAAAATCTGACCTTTCTGTGTTCATTAAATGATCAATCTTTCTTCAGCGAAGAACATTTATTTTAGTTTATTGAACATAATTTGGGAGGGTTTTAGCTTCATATGAGACATTTCTAAAACCAATCGATTAATTTAAAGTCAAGTTATAAACTTTTGTTTCTACAAAATGGATAAGTGACGAGACTTTTGTCAGGGACTGTACTCCTCCTCTCCGCCTCCTCCCTTCCTCCACTCTTCCTCGTGTAATCCGTCGTTTTTAAAAAGCTTTTAGACGTAAGAGCGCGGGGCCGAGGAGCTGTCAGAAAACATCTCGGCGTCTGTCGTTCGTCACGCGTCTCCGCCTCCACTCGTCCTCCTCCTTTTGTCCTCCTCTCATCTGCTCTGTCAGGGCCTTTTCACCTGTCGTCTAATCCGCGGCCTTCACCTGTCAGTGACGGCGCGAACCAGAACGTTCTCACCCTGACGCCGCGTTTGTGATGTTTGTGATGTTTTGCAGGCGGCGGAGCTGGCCTTGCACGCCGACATGGAGGTGAAGGAGGCCATCCAGGGCGCCATCCAGGGGGAGAACGGCGAGGTCAAAATGGAGATCGTCACCACGGTCGCGACCTGAGAGGGAGAAAAAAAGAAACCCACAGACTCTGAAAGGTTTTCGTTAACGTAGTTCGAGAAGCTACCGTGTTTTAAACGAGCGAGAGACGCGGGGGTGAAGTGAGAGGATTAGTCATGCAGGTAATGTTCTCAAAAGTGGAAATGACAAAAAAAAAAAACAAGACGACGCTTAAAGTTGTGGTGGAGCTGTCACCGGGACGAGACCCAGAACGAGACCGGGACCCATCTCTCCACCGCCTCATCGCGTTCTTCAGCCGTGGAGATGGTGGGTTCGGCTTCGCGGCGCTCGGGCGGCTCCTCCGACGGCTCCTCCGACGGCTCCTCCGACGGCTCCTCCGACGGCTCTCCGACGAGCCGTGGAGCTCCTCTTTGTCCTGGAGGAAAAGTAGTTGTAGATTAGAAGATTTCAGCTCATTTACTCAAAAGTTCGGACACGTTTTCCTGGACCGTGGGCGGCTCGGTCGAACACGAAGATCATGTTTTTTTGAAGAATCATCATCAGGATCATCAGATGTTTTCACAATCCAAGAAAAATGTGATGAAACTTGTATTTAAATGTACAATTTTATGCTTAAAGAGCTCGTATTACACTGTTCTCTGATCTCTGTTCTAATGTCGTTTCCTCATCACGAACAGACCGGACAGAAAACACTTTGTTCCACCTTGTGATGTCATGTCAAAGCTCCACTGTGTTTTTAAACTCCACACACCTTCACTAGGATCATTTGGATCAGTTCAGCCCTTTAATTTCCAAACTCTACTGAACTAAAGGTGCCGGATTTTTCAGATTATAAAGCGCGAGATCAGTAATGTTGGATTTTCTCGTCTGTTTTCACACGTAAAAAACATTAAACGAAAGATAAGTCAAACTTTATTCAACTCATTCACAAAAACAATCAACACATAATTTTTTCAGTTCATTCCTCGTCTACAAATCCATCAAACTCTTCATCTTCAGTGTCTGAGTTTTCCGATCCAGTTCAACTTTATTTGTGTGGAACATTTTACAAACAAAACTTTTTTTTTACTTTAAAAATGAAAAAAATCAGCAGAATTATGTTTAATAAGGACACTAATAGAATAAAAAAATAAAATAATAAAATCAATGAACAAAAATAATAAAATCAATCCATAAAAGCGATACTGAAATGATAAAATAGATAAAAAATAAATAAATAAAAATTAAATAAAAATAAAAATAAATAAAATAAAAATAAATAAATACAATTAAAAAAAAAAAAAAAATTAAATAAACAAAATTAAAATAAATGAAACGAAAATAAACAAAATGAAAATAAACAAAACAAAAATAAACAAAACAAAACAAAAATAAAGGAAATGAAACGGAGGAGCGCACAACTCACGCGGTGTTAAAATCCTGAGAGTAAATGTGGGTCTTAAGACGAGGTTTAAACTCTGTGTCTCTGTAAAACTGTTGGGACGTGTGGGGGGGGCAGAGCGTCCAGAGTTTGGGGCCGACCACAGAGAAGCTCCTGTCCTCCTGGTTTTAAGTCTCGTTTTGGGGACCACGAGCTGGAGCTGGACCTGGGACCTCAGCGCACGTGCGGAGTGTAAATCTGGATCAGGTCCGAGACGTAACGTGAGGTTAGTCCATTCAAAGCTTTAAAAACAAATAATAAAATCTTAAAGTCTGTTCTAAATTTAACAGGAATCCAGAGCAGCGACACATGAATTGGGGTAATGTGAGTTTTGGGCGATTTCTGCCTCGAGCTCGGATCCTCTCGTCATGATCCGAGTCTCGTCGTCTCTGGTCCTTCGTTGTTCGGTGATGATTCGGGGCTTCGTGAAGCTCGCACGACACTTGAGTTTGATCCTTTAGCTCAGGCGTCATCGATCCAGCGGCAGATCGAAGGTGCAAGTCGCCCGACGTCGCCTCCCTGACCTGTGAATGTGTGTTAGACTTAGACTTAAACAAACTTTACTGATCTACAAGGGAAATGATTTGGACACAGGAGTCAAACATCACAATATCAAATAATAACAAAGAGTAAAAATATAAATGTGATAATAAATTCTAAATAAGTAGCAAAAAAAACAAAACAAAAGAGCAATAGACGTGTCAAATAAGGCAGAATTATGTAAATGTACAAGTAAAAATAAAATAGAAAGATAAAAATAAGTAAAAAAATGTGAATGTGTTTTACTCTGTGAAGTTACCAAAGTCGTACTAAAACATTTTGACAGATTTTTGAGCTCCGTGTGCTACAGAAAATCAGTTCGAGGTCAATAACACAACCACAATTAATACATAAAACACTGGATTATTATCAAGGATGGTGCCACCTAGAGCCTCAATGTCATTTCTCTTCAGAGACGAGATCAGGAATCAGAAAACACGAGACGATTTGCAAAAAGTCCAGAAGTGTGAGAATCAGAGAAGAGACAGACATTCTGTGTTGTCGACGATTCCCGAGATCGAGGATTTAAAGTCTGAACAAAGAGAATGTTCGGTGAATTTTATCACATACATACATAGAATTAATGTTTGCACAAATTTTTTGCTCTAATAAAGCTTGAAATTAACTGAAAAAAAAAAAAAAAACAAACTTAAAAATAATAATAAATGGTGTTGTGGGGTTGAGGTGTCCAGGCTGGCGCCCCCTAGTGCCTCCACTCAGTTTCATTTCTCTCCAGCGACTAGTTCAGGAATCAGAAAACACCAGACAATTCACAAAAACCCCGGAAGTGCAAGTTCAGGCTCCAGACATTCTGTGTTGTCAACGATTCCCGAGATCGAGGATTTAAAGCCGGAACAAAGAGAATGTTTGGTGAATTTGATCTCGGGGAAAGACGTTATTGTTCTTCTTCCTACAGGATTTGGAGCTTTACAAACGTCACAAACAAACAGCAGCGATTGGTTCAATAAAAAAAGTCCCCGTCTACTGTCGAGCGAACGAATCGTAAAGCTGCAGGTCACACGGTTTCCACCAAGTGAAACCGACTCAGGAATCAGGACACTGGATTATAAAACGCCCTGTCGATTTTTGAGCAAATTAAAGGATTTTCAGTGCGTCTTATAGTCTGAAAAATACGGTAAAAGGAGCTGTTCACTTGAAAAACACCACTTCATGACATCACAAGGTGGAACTGAGCATTTAGAGCTTTGGAGATGTTACAGACTCATAATAAAAAGTTACTCAAATGTGGGAATGAAACAAAAACACAAGTCCAGAATCTGTGTTTCATTCGTTCATTCGTTTTTCAATATAAAACCAAAAATAAGAAAATGGAAAAACAACAGTTTTCTTCATTATTTGTCTCCAAAACTAAAATAAAAAAAACAGATAATGATTCGTTTTTTCAGTTTTTGATTTTGTGTTTAAATGAAAAATGGAAAAAATGGATAACGGCCGTTTCCCGTTTATGTGACTTCAGTGACTGTGATGCCGAACTTTTGCACCGGGTACGAACTGAACCAGGACTGAACCAGGACTGATCCAGGTCCGGGACCAGACCGGGACTGGGGAGGACTCCGAGCTTTGACTCTGAGCCTCCGCGGGGTCCAAGCCTCAGCTTCGAGCTCCGGCCCTGCTGTGGGCTCTGAGCCTCTGGTCTGGTCTTGGTCTTGTCTCGGTCTTGTCTCGGTCTCAGTAGCGCTCTGGTCCCAGTCTGGTCCTGGACCTGGTCCATTTGAACCAAAAGCTCTTAGTTCGGTTCATTTTCGTTGGTGTGAAAGCGTCAGTTGGATCTTTGCTCCACCTCAGAACCAGTCGTGGTTCTTGAGTGTGGAGGACTGGAGCAGCTCTGTCCAGACCTGTAGTCCACAGAACATCTCACTTTCCCCACACGGAACCAGCGCACAGACGATGACACGGAACCACTCGGACCACTGGTCTCAGTCTCAGTCCCGCTCTGGTCCCGGTCTGGTCTTGGACCTGGATCAGTCCTGGTTCAGTTCGGCATCACAGTCACTGAAGTCACATAAACAGGAAACGGTCGTTATCCGTTTTTTCCATTTTTCATTTAAACACAAAATCGAAAACTGAAAAAACGAATCATTATCCATTTTTTCATTTTGGTTTTGGAGACAAATAACGAAGAAAACTGTTGTTTTTTCGTTTTCTTATTTTTGGTTTTATATTGAAAAACAAATGAACGAATGAAACACACAGATTCTCCAGTTCTGTTTGTGACGAGGAAAATTAGAAGACGACTTAAAGCTCAGAGTCAGTTTGGTTTAATATTGGATCTTTAAGCATCAAATACCCAGAAAAGTTGCAGAAATATGACTTAATATTTACATTTTTATTATTATTTTGCATTTTTTAGGTCATTTGTTATTATAAAAAAATAGACATAATATTAAGATTTGTCATTTCCTCAAAACAACATTGAATCCTCTGATGTGTTTCCCGCCTCAGCACGACTTTTTCCTTTTTGACGGTTTATCGTTTTATTTTATTTTATTTTATTGTATTATTTTATTTTACAGTTTCAGTTCGTAACAGAAATAACGCCGCACTAATCCTCTGATACACTGATTTGTGCGTGTTTGTGTGAGTGAAAAACCTGTATCGTCCACATTTAAGATTCGTGTTAATAAAAGGTGAGCGGCGTCGTGAAGTTACAGCAGTTTGACTTTAGTTTCAGTTTTTCTTTTACAGTGAACGTTTGGATTTCAGGACATGTTTATTTTTCTAAAGACTTTTCTGTTACAGCTGGAATTTGTATTTTGTTTTTGAGGTTTTCTGTTTATTTTAAATATTTGTAAATGTGTTTAAATAATTAAATAAGTCTTGTTTTTCTGGTGGATTTGTTTTTTTTTTCTGAAGGACCAATCAGAAACAAGGTCTACAAATCTGACCAACGGTTTGACCAACTGTTCTGGGACTAAACCTGAAATAAACCTGGACTAGACCAGAACTAAACCAAAAAACAATTATTATTATACAGGGTGTCCCAAAAAATGTGACGTCATTTCACAGTCCAATAATTTTGTAATTCCTTGTTGAAATAATCTCAAATTTTCACAAAAAGTTTAGAAACAGAACAAGATTTTATATTTAATGTTTTATTTTTGTTCTGTTTTCAGGTTGAGCCCAAACAGAAATAATTTTGTGTTTTTGAATCTGCTGCTCACAGTCAGCCCAAAACTGCAGCTTCAACGAAACATTTGGAAAAACTTCACCAAATGACAAAGAAATTTGGACTTGGGAACAAAAATGTAAAGAGGAAGAATTTGAAGAATCTGAAGAATCTGAAGGATTTGAAGGATTTACCCAGAATCCAAAACACAAACTGACTTCTGTTTGGGAGTGAACGGCTCAACCTGAAAACACAACAAGAATAAAACATCCGTCCATGTTCTTCTTCTTCTCTGGGGTCGAGTCTCGGGGGCATCAGTCTGAACAGAGACTCCCTGACTTCCTTCACCCCAGACACTTCCTCCAGCTCCTCCAGTGGGACCTGAGGTGTTCCCAGGTCAGTCCAGAGACATCGTCCCTCCAGTGTGTCCTGGGTCTCCTCCTCCTCCTGGTGGGACATGAACACCTCCTGAGGGACACGTCCAGGAGACATCAGAACAGACGTCCTCCCCTCAGACGCTCCTCTCCACGTGGAGGAGCAGCGGCTCTACTCCGAGCTCCTCACTCTGTCTCTGAGGGAGACGCCCGGACGCCCTGAGGAGGAAACTCATGAACTGATCTGACGACGGTTGGTGACGGCGTCAGGAGAAGCAAAAGAACGAGGAAGGGGGGAAAAATACTTGATGTGTCCACGGCGTCTGTTGCCGTGGAAACAACAGACATTTCCCGTCTTTTCCCAGAATGAAAAGAGACCAGACTGAGAGAGACTTTAGTGTTTTTACACCAAACCATCAGCGGCTGCACTGCTGGTTTAGTCCTGGTTTAGTCCTGGTTTAATCCTGGTTTAGACCTGGTTTAGACCTGGTTTAGTCCTGGTTTAGTCCTGGTTTAGACCTGGTTTAGACCTGGTTTAGTCCTGGTTTAGTCTTGGTTTAGTCTTGGTTTAGACCTGGTTTAGTCTTGGTTTAGTCTTGGTTTAGACCTGGTTTAGTCTTGGTTTAGACTGGTTTAGACCTTGGTTTAGTCTTTTAGTCTTGGTTTAGTCTTGGTTTAGTCTTGGTTTAGACCTGGTTTAGACCTGGTTTAGTCCTGGTTTAGACCTGGTTTAGTCTTGGTTTAGTCCTGGTCTAGTCCTGGTTTAGTCTTGGTTTAGTCCTGGTTTAGTCCTGGTTTAGACCTGGTTTTAGTCCTGGTTTAGTCTTGGTTTAGACCTGGTTTAGACCTGGTTTTAGTCCTGGTTTAGTCTTGGTTTAGACTTGGTTTAGTCCTGGTTTAGTCCTGGTTTAGACCTGGTTTAGTCCTGGTTTAGTCTTGGTTTAGTCTTGGTTTAGTCCTGGTTTAGACCTGGTTTAGTCCTGGTTTAGTCCTGGTTTAGTCTTGGTTTAGTCTTGGTTTAGTCCTGGTTTAGTCCTGGTTTAGACCTGGTTTTAGTCCTGGTTTAGTCTTGGTTTAGACCTGGTTTAGACCTGGTTTTAGTCCTGGTTTAGACCTGGTTTAGTCTTGGTTTAGACCTGGTTTAGTCTTGGTTTAGTCTTGGTTTAGTCCTGGTTTAGTCTTGGTTTAGTCTTGGTTTAGTCTTGGTTTAGTCCTGGTTTAGTCCTGGTTTAGTCTTGGTTTAGTCCTGGTTTAGTCTTGGTTTAGTCCTGGTTTAGACCTGGTTCAGTTCTGGACTAATGGTCTGACCCTGAATTATCGCGGGTCTGGGCAGGTGTGGATTTAACTTTGATAGAATCGCTGGTTAACGGGCGGGTGCTGGCGGGTGCTGGCGGGTGCTGGCGGGTGCTGGCGGGTGCTGGTGGGCGCTGGCGGGTGCTGGCGGGTGCTCGTGGGCCTGGGTCTCCAGAATCGGACCGGTGCAGGACTCTGGTGTGTCCACACGTCCCAGTTTGAGCCTGTGTCTCTGTCCCACAGATTTATACAAAACAACAGATTTGTTTTATAGTTTTACACAGAAATGTCCCAGTGTTTCTGTTTTGAACCAAGAAACTGACATTTGCTGTTTAAAAACGACCAAAACACAAAGAAAATGAAACCACTGACACATTTGAGCCGAGTGCTCAACAGTTTTACTCTTTTATTCTCACAAACCCGGGGACGTGTCAGAGTTTTATTTTGAAAGTCTGCTTCCTGTACCATAGACCTTCATGTAGAGCAGTGTGTTCTGTGATGTGTTCCGGGGTAAAAGCTCTTGCAGTGAGTTTGGGAGCTGCTAATGACTCCAGAGCCATAAATAAGAGATAAGAACAGCAGCGTTGGCCCGAGTGCGAGACACAGACGGTTCCCATGCTCTTCATGATGTAATCGTGTATTTTGGAGAGGGGAACGACCCAGACGACAAAATGAACTCCGTAAAATAACATCCACGCTCTTGGCTCGGTCCAGTTGTTGCTTTTCAGTCTGACGGCTCCGACCTCCTCGGGCCCGGGTCTGGTCCGCTCCCGCCGCTTCGCCCGGACGCGCCGCCGCAGCTCTGGGTTTTACGGCCCCCGACCAAAACAATCGTCTCGTTAAACCCGGCGATGCGGCTGAGTTCAGAAATGTTTGGCCCGAGCGTCTCTGCCTCTTCCATTTAAACTTGGAAACGTCCCCGGCTAATCTCATCGTTTTGCTTTCTACTTTTACGAGATTGGGCGGCGTCCAGGAGCTGAGTGGTCGCCATAACAACGGGGCCCTGTTTCTCTCTCCGCTCGGCCCGGAGACGCGGCGGCGGCGAGTGACGGCGGGAGACGAGGCGGACGGTGGATCTCTGCGTCAGCGGGTTCACGTTACACTGGAGACGACAGAAGATCCTCGAACTGACGCCAAACAAACTGTAGACCCGGACCCGGACCTGGACCCGGACCTGGACCCGGACCTGGACCCGTACAAATGATGAGTAACTGTATTCAGTTACAGTTACTGTTTCAGTGAGTGGTAATTAGATTACAGTTACTTTGTCGAAATAAATGGATTAAACAGAGGGATTTTACTGTTTTCACTTTTTGGGGCTAAACCAGGACTAAAACCAGGACTAAAACCAGGACTAAACCAGGTCTAAACCAGGTCTAAACCAGGACTAAAACCAGGACTAAACCAGGTCTAAACCAGGTCTAAACCAGGCCTAAAACTAGGACTAAACCAGGTCTAAACCAGGTCTAAACCAGGCCTAAAACTAGGACTAAACCAGGTCTAAACCAGGTCTAAACCAGGTCTAAACTAG